CTCCCCAAGACCCACGGGACCACGGAAGGTCTTCTCCTGACCCATAACTTCCTCCTGCTCCTCCACCCCAGTGTGCAGAGCTCCATCGACGCCCATCCCTCCTGAGGTCCAAGTCTTCTACACCTCCTCCTGCTCCTCCAGCAGCGATGACGATTCGGTGGAGCTCGTCTGCTTCATCTCCGGCTTCACCCCGGCCACCGTCGAGGTGGAATGGTTGGTGGACGGGATCTCGGGTCTTCTGACGGCCACCCAGAAGAGACCGTCCCGGGAGGACGGAGCCACCACCTTCTCCACCAGCAGCCGTACCAACGTCAGTCGCTTAGAGTGGTTGGAGGGGAAGACCTTCACCTGTCAGGTCAAACATCCGGCCACCGGGGTGGTCACCCAAGGTCACGCCCGTCTCTGCTCAGGTGAGGAGATGGGCCTGGTGGTGGTGGTGGTGATGGGGGAACGTCAGCAGAGGAGAAGGTTGGGTGACCATGGTTGGGTTCCACCACTGGAGAAGGTTGGGTGACCATGGTAGGTGGCAGCAGTGGAGAAGATTGCAAGATGGTGGTGGGTTCCACCAGTGGAGAAGGTTGGGTGACCAGGGTGGGTTCCACCACTGGAGAAGGTTGGGTGACCGTGGTTGGGTTCCACCACTGGAGAAGGTTGGGTGACCGTGGTTGGGTTCCACCACTGGAGAAGGTTGGGTGACCGTGGTTGGGTTCCACCACTGGAGAAGGTTGGGTGACCGTGGTTGGGTTCCACCACTGGAGAAGGTTGGGTGACCGTGGTTGGGTTCCACCACTGGAGAAGGTTGGGTGACCGTGGTTGGGTTCCACCACTGGAGAAGGTTGGGTGACCGTGGTTGGGTTCCACCACTGGAGAAGGTTGGGTGACCATCCTGGAAGGGGTTTGGGGGCCGGCGTGGTGTTCCACCGCTGGAGAAGGTTGGGTGACCAGGGTGGGTTCCACCACTGGAGAAGGTTGGGTGACCATGGTTGGGTTCCACCACTGGAGAAGGTTGGGTGACCATGGTTGGGTTCCACCACTGGAGAAGGTTGGGTGACCATGGTTGGGTTCCACCACTGGAGAAGGTTGGGTGACGATGGTGGGCGGCAGCGGAGAAGGTTGGGTGACCATGGTTGGGTTCCACCACTGGAGGAGGTTGGGTGACCATGGTGGGTTCCACCACTGGAGAAGATTGACCGACCGTGGTGAGTTCCACCACCGGAGAAGGCTGCAGGACCACGGCGGCTTCCACCGACGCCACCCTCGCAGGACCTTCCCACCACCTCGTCTCCTTCCAAGAAGACCTCCTCGCCGCTCCCGGTCCCACCAACGTCACGGGTAGCACCTCCGTGACCAGCGGTCAGGAGAAAGGGGCCACCGCGCCGCCCTCCTCACCCACCCCTCCCACCCGCAGGCTTGGACAACCCCAACCTCAGCAACATCTTCCTCTACGTTCTTCCACCCAACATGGCCGACCTCTACATCACCCGTAACCCGAAGGTCCACTGTTTGGTCACCAACCTTCCGAGCGACTCCGGGTTCCAACTCTTCTGGATCAAGGAGAAACCAGGTCTTCTCAACCCGGACTTCTTGGACCTCCAAGAGCAGTTCAACGGGACCTACACGGCCACCAGCAGCTTGAGCATCTCCACCCAAGATTGGGAAGCTGGAGAACGTTTCACCTGCATGGTGAAACACGACGATCTCCTGGTGCCCCTCAACAAAAGCATCTCCAGACGTTCAGGTGAAGGTCTTCTCCTCCATCACCTCGTCTCCGGAACTTTCCGCTTTGGTCAACGTCACCCAACTTTTCTTCTTCTTCTTCTTCTTCTTCTTCTTCTTCTTCTTCTTCTTCTTCTTCTTCTCCTTCTTCTTCTTCTTCTTCTTCTAGGGAAGGTTTCTCCACCCCTCGTCTTCGTCCTCCCGCCCAATCCCGACGAGATGACCCAAACCAAGGTCACCCTCACCTGCATGGTCCACGGTTTCCAACCCGAGAACGTCGCCGTCCAATGGTTGAAGAACCAGGAGAACGTTCCCGAGGAGAACTACGTCACCACCCCGCCCCTGAAGGATGGTCCTAAGGAGAGCACCTTCTACGTCTACAGCAAGCTGGTGGTCTCCAAGAGCAGCTGGATGAGCGGGGACACCTACACCTGCATGGTGGTCCACGAAGGGTTGCCCATGAGGTTCACCCAACGACAGGCGCAGAAGATCCCCGGTAATTAAGAGGGTCGGACGGGACGGGTGGCGGTGGGTGGTCGCATCTTCATGCCCGTCCCACCGGTTTGTAGATGACCTCTGTGACCGATGATCTTTCTAAGCTTCAATAAAAGCCACCGGTCTGGTCTCGCACCACCGGATCTCCACGGCGTGGTGTCTTTGGACGGTGACGGGTGGGTCGGGGACAACCCGGAGGTCGGGGTGGGAAGGGAAGGAGAAGGTCGGAGACGACGGAGAGGGTCCCACCGAGGTAAAGGTGGCAGATGTGGCACCTCGGGTGGACGCGGCCTTGACCTAGAGGTCGAGAGAAGCCCAAGGGGCGGCCAACCGCTTCTCCAACCCTCCGTCCACCTCCAGGAGCATCTGCCCAGGGTTTAAGCACCATCTCCCAACCCTTCCGCGGGGCCAAGCGTGTCTTCTTCTCCGTCGGGAGCGGGCGATGGCTCACGTGCCCGACCTTCGGCCCTGGGTGGACCTGGGGAGGGGGAGGCGGGACACCGGTGGGGTCTCCAGCCCGTGGGGTGGAGGAGGAGACGTCAGGGAGGCGGGGGGGGGGGCGGGGGGGGGGTGGGGGGGGGGGGGGAAGGAACAGTTGTGATTTCCTAAGGGTGAGTCAAAGCCCTGAAATTGCCGTGCTCTGTGAAGGAACCTGCCATGAGCTTCCCCAACACAGCACAAATGAA